GGTTTACCGGATTCTGAAGAACTCAAACCACATTTGCCGTCCGCTGCTGGTATTGAACCACAACACTAAACTAAGAGGTCAACCTCTGAAACTGACAATTCAGTATAGCCGGCTTGAATGCCGTAGAAATTTCTTTTCTCTCCGCGTGTGCCAGCCTTGGAACGCCCTCCCTAATTATGTCGTCTCTGCTCCCAATCTGGCGATATTTAAAAAATGTGTTGACGATGCATTGTCTCACTTACATTTCATTTTATGACTTGTTAGCCAGGGGGTACAAAATGCAATCAAACGGTGTCTTGCCAAACGCCTAACCAATGGATTTATACGTTTAATACGCGAACATTTCCGCTATTCCACATAAGTTAATGGTGAGTCCACCACAACGCTTTTCACTTTATTATGCAATTGATTTTCGCAATAATTTCCATCCCACGGGACTTGCTAGGCGATGCTTTTTTACCCGTAATAAACCATTGTTCCATTGTAAACATTTTCATCATTGTATATCATTTCATGGACATATTATTTATCAGTCGATTAGTTCAAGCTTTTTGAGTGACTACCGCCTTCGATTTCCTACAAGAATCTGCAGTGCCGTGTTCTGTGTGCGGTTGTCATGTAACGCTAAGTTGTTTCCCGACCGACGTAGGGGTGGGGTACATTGTAACATGAGAGTATGTGGGTGTTCTCTGAGCTGGTTGATTTGGTTGCAGACTTTTCATCGTCAGGCTAGACGACATCATCAGTGCGATTTATGCGAGCCACTTGCAGATCCAAGTGATTATTGATCACTTGATTCGAACGTCAGGAGTCAAATGGTCCACTTGAGCTGACCCTGTAGTCAGCTCCTGCGTACTGTTGGCTAGAGTCCGTCTCAATGGTGTTCCTGTGTCCTGTTTATCTTGGGCGGAGTATTGATTTGACCCTCGGCGCTTCATAGGCAGTATCTAAATCTAAGTGTCTGTTGATTGAGTTCTTCCCCGGGTATCAAGCCTCGATAAACTCGCGTGCTTTTCAACTTTTTGCCCTGCCTATGATCCTGACATTCTCCAAATCAAACTGATGATTCTCGGCGTTCATATGTACCGACATCAGGGAGTTCCGGTCATGTCGGCGGATGGCTAAGCTATGCTCATGTAGCCTAGTGCCGAAGCGCCTTCCTGTCTGGCCCACATAGTAGTTGTTAAAAGTTTTGCAGCGGATTTTGTAAACCCCACCACTTGTTTCTTCTCTGCGAAGCCAGTCCTTACCATTGAAGAGCTCTTCAGGTATAGCAAATGGATCAGGTTGGATCAAGAAAGAGAACTTCCTTGATCTAATAAGACATTTTATTCAATTTGCTCGTTCCTCCTTGGCCAAGCCGGTACTTTTGCTTCTAGATAACCACATTTCATATCTTTATGTTCCAGCAATTGATCCCTGTAAAGAAAATCATATCACGTTACCTCCTACACCTCCTCATTCATCACATAAATTGCAGCCACTTGATAGAGTAATTGTTGATCCTTTTAAGGCCTTTGCTAGTAAGAGAGCCCATGCTTGGATGAGAGAAACTGCAGGCTGAACCACTGTCGGCACTACTCTCCCTCAAGCCTTTACACCAGATAAAATAATTGAATCATTCCGATGTACTGGAATTATTCCAATTAACAGGGACAGTTTAATGAGTCAGACTTTGCTACATTTGGGGTTACTGCAAGACCATTGCTTGAAAATGACGGACCATCTTCTTCACAATCAGATACAGAACAAAGCAGCTCTCAATTGACGCAGTTACCTGGTACAACTCGTGCTGCACCAATCAAGATAGCTACCGCAGGAGCTACAAATGTTCACTTGCTGCTTCAAACTCTAAAGAACTGTCTCCAGCTGGTGCTGGTCCATCAAACATTGAGCACACATTTAGTCCTGAATTGCTATTACCATATCCACATACAGACAGGAAGACAAATGGGGCAAGTCGCAGAAAGCTAACAAGTGCTGTTCTCACTGATACCCCCTGTTGTTAAGACGGAAAAAGCAACCTGACCAAAAGAGAGAAAGGCAAGGGGAAATTAAATAGAACACTCACCATGAACAGACAGAAGCAAAAAGATAGGGCAACTTCTGATTCATGTTCGGATGAAGATGAATATTTCTGTCTCGTGTGCATGGAAAGCTACAGTAACAGTCATCCTGGTGAGATCTGGATCCAGTGCTCAACTTGTGGACTCTGGGCTCATGAGCAATGTACAGATGTTGGTAGCCGAAACTTTCTGTTTGTTTGTCACAACTGTAATTCTGATTAGCTTTCCTGTTAAAATTACAACTTTTCTGCTTTTGTGTAGTTTTAAATTCACAACTAATCCTGTGTTATGAATTGCCCCCTACGATGTTACAACTTATCCCGGTACCAGAAGCACAAGTGTTTTCACACATTTCTACAACACGCAAAGAAAATAAAGGTTCATTGTGTAGATTGATGATAGTTCATCTGTATTGTAACCAAATTTAGATTAAATGGGGCAACAAATAACTGAGAAATAGCGGATCATGTAAAAAAGTGTTACAATCTGCCCCGGTCTGGTCTACTGCTTCGTGAATCAACGTTAGTTAATGTACGCAAAGGGGCTGCACACAAACGAGTATTCAAAGGAATCCAGTCAACTAACGACGACTCAGCCTTGGAGATGAGGACGACGACCACCTTAGCATGATCAGCGTTTGCCGCATTACCCTGTCCAGATGCGTGTAACCAATAGTGATAGGTCAAGCCGGGCGCAGTTAGTTCAACAACCCCATGACGGTCATTGATCTCAGTTTCGGATACGTAACACACATCAACACCCGGTGTGTCCAACGTGCGTGCGAGTGCAGCCTGTTGACCCATTCGTCTTAGAGTGTGGACGTTGAACCCCGCCACGGAAACGGGAGAGCGTGGCCTTACAAGAGACTGTTGCCGATAGCTGTCCAGTAGGTGGTGCGATAAGACAGCGGCAGACTGTAGAACTACACTGGCATTGCGGTTGCTGTAAATTAAGTTAGGACTTATAGAAGTACGGTGAGGAATGGGGTTGGGAGCGGAGTAAGAGAAAACAGCGGAAAGGAAAGAATGGAGACATCCGCATTAACAATTTTTCGCTTATCCGCACTATGATGGCCAATATCGGATATGGCACGAAGCTGATGATAAATTCATTTAGTTATGGTTTTACCTGGGCTGGGATAATCTCAGGGCGCCAAACCCTAAAAAGAACAAGTAGGGTCCTCAACCGAAGCTTTGGTTCAAAAGCTTGGCCGTAAGGTAGCGGGGATGTGGCAAAAACTAGGTTTTAAGGAAACGGCTAGTAATCTTTTTCCAACCATTAGCCTAATGCATCAGGAGACTGAGTTTGTCTGACCTCTAATAATTGAGACGCGGGGGCAAGACCTAGTGAATATCAATGGGTCGAAGAGATACGAAAACCGCCGCACCGCGTTAAAGTCCAGTCTCGCTGCGACCGAATCAAACTGATTAATGCAACGAATGAAATATCAAAACAAACCGTGTAAATTAGCGGTAAGCGATTGAGGAAGGTATGAACAGTTGGAGATGAGAGGGAACATTCTAATAAGGAAAGGAACAAGTGGGTGGGCGTTAAGCAAATGCGCTATAAAAGACTTGGGCGAAATCGGTGGTAGACAACACGAGTTGCAGGCTGAGACATGGCCAGTTAGTTTAGAGACTCGGTGGGAGACTGAGGTACGAAACGCGATCGCAATCCTTAATCGGATTCGTGCTGATGAGCCGGATTCGCTCGCACCCGCACTATTTAAGGATGGAGGTGAGATCGTCAATAAAGCACTGAGCTCCCTGTTCGAACAGGTCTGGAAGGAAGAGACCATCCTAGCTAACTGGAGTGAATCAATTATAGTGGAATATACAGGAAAGGCAGTCGCACTGACTGCTAACCACGGGGATATTGGCTTCACGCCACAGACAACCCGAAGCAGCCTCTCCAGCGCAGTCCCGTTATTTAATAAGCGCTTTGCAACTTCAAAGTGTTGTTGAAGGAGCACCAGCCACTCAATGACCAATTGACCTTTGACAAGGAGAACTCGAGGCAGTTGATCGATTCACTTTCCTTGGCAGCTGCATCAGCAACGATGGGCGCAAAGAAATTGAAGTCAGCTCACGCGATGCAAAAGCCAGAACTGCCTTCTTGAACCTGCGGAACCTTTGGTGACAGAAGAGGTTCCTTTCATCTGAAAGGCGGTGTATACAAGGCCATTGTGAGGGCCGTGCTACTCTATGGAAGCGAGACTTGGCCTCTCCGATCTGAGGCGCCTTCAAGTCTTTGCTCATCGTTGTCTACGAAGCATTGCTGGTGTCAGGTGTCACCAGTGTGTCCGCAATGATGATGTGTGTAGGCGAGTACTAGGTAGTGATAAGCAGGCTATTTCCTTAGAACACGTGGCTACGTATGCCTAGTCAGCGCTTACCTAGGAGGGCTTTGTCTTGTTTGCCAGATGTTGGCTGGCTTAAGGCACGAGATGGGCAAAAATTAAGTTGGCAGCGGAATTTGAAGTCACTGACGACCCAACTCGGTGCCGTCGGTCCGTCTCGCCTTCCAGGCTGGAATCCACGTGACCCGCCTTGTGCTTGGCTCGAGACGTTACATGGCTCGCAGCCGACACTAGTGGCGTGTTTGCTGTCGTCCCCGAGTCGGATTGCTTAAAGTGTGTTCGGTGCTGAGTTATCTGCGGGGTAATGGCTGATTATGACGCGGGGCAGTGAAAACCGCAAGGAAGCTGTCTCGCTGATGCCACTATACTCAGCTGTTTGTGAAGATTTGTTGTTGACAAGGTGCAGGCGCCTTGACACCGTGTTTGTTTAAGACATTTTAGCACAGATCCCACTTATTGTTTCTTCGTTCCATAGTTCATCATGGCAGTATAGCAGCGAAGCAACAGTTCAAATGGCTGATGTACTGCTGTTGATGATGATGATAGACAACACGAACAAGCCAACCGCAACACACCGATGGGTAGCCAAGGGTGCAAATACAAGGGCGAACACATGTTGCACAATGTGCTTTTTCCGAGTTAGCCGGCAAGTGTAGGATGAAAGAGAGTGGTTAGTGTGAGAAGGAATGTTTCAAAGACAATGGACTAAGCCACCGAGGGGATTTTAATAGCAAAATCTGTACTGACTGCTGTTTCTGCAACTAGTCTACGAAACAATAAGAGATAGTGTAACAAGTAGCTGTGCGCCATGCCACAACCTTTTGATTAGCATATGTGTCAGAAAGGTAATTATACAATGGACAAAAAAGCCGAGGGAACGGTGAATGATTTCCCCATCCAGGAAAAGACGGGGTAAATGCAACGAGGAACCGAAGGAAGGAAAATGATTAACCTGAAGACGGGAAACGATACTAACAACTGGGCTGCTAGATGTAAGGTCGAAAACATCAGCCGGACAGGAGGGTTGAACTTCAAGATCAGATGTTAACAATACGTCGGTCAATGATGGAAGTGAGCGACCACGAGCACGAGGAATTAAACCGTACGCACAAGATTGGCCAAAAGTGACAACGACAATGCACAACTACCTCCGGACTACACAGAAATGTGGCTGCCTCGTACAACCAAAGAGGATGAACAGCACGAAACCGAAGAAATTAGGCTCGCGAGCAGCGACGAACGAAACGAAAACCAGTCACAAACTGCCTTAGTACTGAATGATCACAACCAGTTATGGGTGACGAATAACAGGTCTTTTAGTAATCAAAAGATTTTGATCGAAGAGCAGTGCATGTTCTCTCTTTGGAGTATCACACAACAAAATGTACGCGAATTTAAATGGTCGTAAAAATTAAACGAACAAAATTGGGAAAGAAAATTTGATGGTGCTGAAAATGCTCTGGTTAAACTCCATTATTGCAATCGAACCGTGACATGCATCAGGGAAGTGTGGTGAAACCGCGAATCAGAGGGAACGAAGAAAACAGGGCACCAGAAGGCAATTGAGAAAACAGCAGTAATACAGCTTGATAAGTAGAATCAAAATAAAACGACAGATGATATAGACAGACGCGTAAGTGTTTAACCAAATATAAGAAAATGCCTGAGTGTCCATGCAAGAGAGACGGGAGCGAGAGAGATGGCCACGGATAATAATTGCGCGCTCGTAAATCTAGATGCATAAAAAAGAAGGCAACGGTTAGGCCCGAAAACATAGAGGTTAGTAACCGTGTTAATGAAAAGAAAGTGATCTTCAATGAGGACATTGATTCAAGCGCAGAAGGAAAAAGAAAAATAACAGATTCTTTGATAGTCCATACAAGATAAAGGGCCAAAAACGATAGGTCAGATCTCGAGGAGTTGGAGGTTACAAAGAGCTGGAGACTATAAAGAGCCAGCGTGGCAAATACTCATGAAAGACAGCGAAAGAGCCAGAAGACGAAGCAACGGACTGATATGCACCGAACCAAGGGAACTAGCAGAGACGAGAGGAGCAAGCAATTGGTCATCGTATCCCTTAGTCAGCTTTCCTCGCTCTGGATTTTGCGGTTCGCTGCGTGTTCGTAGAGTCGCCGTTCTCCCCCAGGGCCGAAGTAAGAAGTCGAACTGCTTGGGGATGTCTATCACCTTCACGAACTTCCAGCGCAGCCAAACTAGGGGCGCAAGCAAATTGACTCTCGGCACCTGGCAAACATGGAAACTCCTCGATGCTGGAGATGGATGGAATCTCAGCAGACGCGGAAACTGTTGTTGCTGGATTAATGTCAGTAATGCCGTGATCTGATTCAGAGGAGGCACCAGGAGAACATGAGGATAAGAATGGGGCTTCAACAACTTCAAACTCAGAATCGTCCAAGAGGGGCTTGTTATCTACGGAGTCCGGAAGCGACATATGATTCCCTCCCATTTTTGCATCGCCGTCTTTTGTTGCGTAAGTCTGCACTGGGCGATTCCGACGTTTCCGGCGGGATTTCTTTACGTCTGGAACCGCGGATTGCTGAGCGGTTGGGTTGGCGGAAAGTTCAACTGGACACGGGGGAGCAGTGTCCGTGGTCTGCAACTGTAAATCGAGAGAGCCAGTTATTCGAATGATTATCTCAACAACATCCTTGGTAGTCGATAACACCACAAATCCACGGGCTTAGTAAGATCTGAAAACAGATGGATGCAGCTGCTTAAACAAATGTAATGAGTAAAGACAAACAGAGTAGGTTTATCGATCGGTAGTCTACTTGTGCTGGTTTCTTCGCGTGCATTCATTAGAAGGCCCAGTTCACCACAGTGTGCCGGCCCATATCCTCAAGGATCACAAGTCTGCCTTGTAATCCGAGGGCGCGGGTTCGAACTTGAGTATGGACCGGGCGATCCTCGCAATATCCTTAGCCCATGTGCAACTGGTCGTGGTTGCGCGGCAGCGAAGCGCCGGAACAGCGTACCCGCGTACAAATGATGTCTTCTATCCTGCCTTCCAGCAGGTTCAGCCCGTTCCCAATTATTCAAGAGACATGTCACTCCAAACCACGCTTATGACAGCTCCCGAGAACGATAACCACCCTTCCAAGGAGTTATTGCGACCTTACAGTTTCTTTCGGTTGTCATTTCCCTACTGCGGTCAACTGAAATGAAACGAAGTGAACAAAGTGCACATGAATGGCCGTTTCAGAGAAGCTGCATTGAGAGTACTATCCGAATCGGGTGTGACGCACGCAAAAGGAGAGCATATGAAGACCACCTGATGCGTAGGGACTTGTGAAAATGCACAAGAGAACCGACAAACAGATCGGAGTAAGCTGAGTTTGCTTCAGAGGGGAACATATTCAGGTTTCGCCAGCTGTGTGTGGAGATGTGATTGGTAATAAAACGATGGTGATGCACGCGTGTGCATCGCCCGGCGTCGACTAACGTGATGCGATAATGCACATGCGGATGGCCATAGCAGCGGCAGAAGAGCAAACATCGTGGTAGAAAGGAGACGGCATGCACCGTAATTCCGTTCACCAATAATGAGAAAGCAAATACCGAGTACGAATAAAGAGACATTAGCATGGTATAAGCAGAAGTTCCTCACATCTAGACTCCGTCAGATAGGCATAACGGTAAAGCACTGTATGGCCGTTTCATCCTTTCTGGAATCGTCAATTGTGTGTCTTCCATCTGGCCCCTATGGCGCCAGAACTCACAACCCGACTGTTACCTATCCGTGGTCAATATCAATGGGCTATGGAAGGCAGTAACGATCAACGTGAATAAGTTACTAGATGTGGTGAATTACTACCTATAGCACTTAAATGGCCCTACCACTTCCGTGTAGGCATCAAAATATCAAGTGATTCAGGGAGTTGAGACCCAAAACGTGTGAGATATAGCGATGCAGAACTCTGACTCAGTCATCAGGAATCCCACTAAAAGCACATACCTAACTAAACAATGAAAAACGATTGAACTGGTGAAGCTACCGAAAAATGAAGCCGTTGCAGAAGGCGATGCAAAAGCTCACCGAACCGCAAGATAGCATGGGTGCCGCACTCTCCTGGGGCTGTTGGGTCGCATTTGATGGGCCCAGTGACGAGGAATCATCACCAGACAATGTGAAAAGTCTTTCTTCCACGCAAGCTTCAATAGAGGGGTTAGTAATTGGATCCTCAGGTGTTTTCTCCCCCTCAAATTGCTTTGGTTGTCTGCGCCCTTTTTTAAGCTTTCTAACAACCGGCCGCCACTCTTCGGAAGTAGCTGACTGCTCTGGTACCTGAGCCTCAGAGACTAGAGGAGGAGATAGCCTCCGGATATCAGCGTGGGAATGGGTAGTGGAGTCCAGTGGATGCGAATCTCGACGGCTCAAAACATGGGACTTTGGATCCGTGCATACATCTGTGGCATGGGTGGGATGTGGAACAAGGTTCAATTAAACCCAGTTAAACAACCATGATGAGAACACACATTCATGTTTGTATGAGAGGAAAAATAAACGCAAAGCGAGATAAGGGAACACTTAGACGACAAGAGCTAAGGACGGAAAAGGCGGCAAAAACGTTAAAAGTGCTGGATGAGTAGGTTAGAGCTGGAAGTAACTAGCAGAATATAAGAGGGCCGTTGAAGTCCAAAATCGCGAGAGAAAAAGAATTTTGATTCGGCTAGAACGACAGAACAGACCTCAGTATAACGATTTATTTCGTGCAGTGTTGATGTGTTTTTAGCTCTATTTACCTACTTGACATGTTCTATCGGATGCCCGCTTGCTGTCAGTATGCTGTGGTCATTCCAAGTTTCATGGAATAAAATGACATCCACTATATTGATATCGCGAGTTGTACCGTTGAAGTTGGTTCAATGCGACGCGTTCAAGCGTGAGGTTGGGGAGATCTGTTATAGAGTAGCGGGCAGTTTCGAATATCGTCTCTCCGCACATCAGAGGCGGGTCTTCGAAACTGCCGCCTCGAGGAGGGCCACTGGGGGCACAACAGACCGATGTGGAGGTTCAGGCGTACCGTTGTAAGTCCTGTGGTTCTTCATGGCAGATGGAGCATGTTAGAGTGGAACAGAGCAAATAGAAACCGTACGAAATTCGGTCGGGTGTGTGTGAGAATCCAAAATGCGCTATCCTGTGATACGGTTGTTCTGCCCAATGATCCTTTCGCTGTGGTTCTCACTACCCTTTACCCAACCATTTTTCTTGTCCCAAACCAATGGGAGTGCGCGTGTACCAGCTGACCCGCGGTGGGTAATACATCAATTTTGAAATCGATGGATGGGCGAAAATGGGCTAACGGTGATCCCACTGTAGCTCGCCACCTCAGTAGCATTGCGTGTCCAACAATACAGTCAACAGAACGCACTTGGCATTACCGGTATAAATTAGAACATCTGAAGTAACGGATGCGCGCAGACCTTAGGACACACTTATTCGTAGAAGGAAAATAAACTAAGCCATAGGATCCACAATATAAATTAGTCGAATGTATACACCAAGATATGAGTGAGCAAGAATCGCGGTTAGATCGATGGGACCGGTAGCCTCAAAGGTGGAACGGTAGATATTTGAAAATTCCATCGGATATGGCGCAGTCAAGGAGTTAACAGTGTTCTTGTGGTCTTTCGTACAGTTGGCGATTCTAATCCTTGTTCACGTTTTCAGAATGATTATTATTCGCATTATTATTATTATTATTATTATTATTATTATTATTATTAATATTATTATGGTTCCAAATATTTGGTGACTTGTACCAATGCAACTAGATTCATCGCACCTTGGTGTCCAGATCGAAGTTGACAAACTAGACTGATATAATGGGGGTAGAGAGAGCTCCAAAATTTGTACGCATAAAATGCCACAGGAACTGTGCGAAAACAGCACTTAATCCAACTATTGTGTCGAATGCATGAAGTAACGTGATCACAAGTTGGCCAAACACAATGTGGTATGTTCGAAAAAGGCAGATCATACTGGCGGTTTAAATAGCATAGAAACGAAAAAGCGGAGAGACACATGCGGTTCGCAGCCTCTGCGATCAAAAAATAAAAAGAAGGAAATAGGTACATCCAAAAGAGAGTGCGATTGACCAAGCTGGAGAAAGAGTGAACAGGTAGCGAGATACTACTAGGTCCACGGAAAATTGATGTCTGCCAATTAGAACACCAGAAGACGTGATGGAGAGAACAGAAAAGTTAGCATAACTAACAGAATACGCGTTATAAGTGATATAATGCAAACGTGGCCAAACATGGGAAAATTGAAAAGGAGACATGTTAGATACAGAAAGTTTACTTAAACAAATCCAGCATATGACAGATGAGAATTCAAGGTTAAAAATAATAAATGAAGAAACCTACGAGTTATCTTCTTTTTGCTGATAGACGAAGAGCGCCCACGTTGCAACTGATGTTTATGCTGCTGTACTTCGGCTCCTTTTTCATCCAGCGAGGAGATGGTTACCTGCGGTGTATGATCAATGTGGCGGATACTGCTCTCATCGAGGCTACGACGGGTGTGCCGTCCACGTGGTACGCCATCAGAGCGCTTGTCCTTGGATCCAGAAGACTGAGTGAAAACATTGTGTAAATGTCTGATGTGCGTGCGCAAGGATGAAAAACTCATGTATACAATGACAACGAGAAAGAAATGTGCAAAAATCAACAGTCTGGATACTGCAAGATTCGAGTGTTGGTGCTTCGGAGGCGCTAATGGAAACGGAGATGTGCACGAAGTATATCGAACGACCCTGTAAACGACCATCTACGTGGACGCGAGGTTCAAGAAAACAACAGAATGCGCGGGTCTGAAAAATGAGGGTGACACATCTTGTTCACACCAGTGATGATGATAGAGCCAAGTAGGTGTTTGCAACAGCTAAACTGACATGAAACGCTGGGTCACCTAGTCGCGGTTATCAAAACCATTCAACCTACGGCCCCCTATATCTAAACTGTAGTTGGATATGAAAGCTTTTGTTGCTGTATGCACGTATACTTCAGTATTACTTAGGGTCAATTGACTCGCTTATAACGTTTGCTTCGGTGTGAATGCACGTTAGCGAGATAGAGGGCTTAAAAGGATCATGTAACTAAGTATTAGCTGTGAGACGTTGTGGAACTAGCGAATCCCAAGCGCTTGACATTGATTGGTACAAGGACCAAATAGCGTTCACTAACGATAATGATTCGAGATGCCACAATGGTGTCAGTTAGGTCCAATGTCTTATGGTCGCTAAGGTCGCTCTATCACCCTGATTGGCTGTTTTAAACCTGACCACTCCGATTACTTAATCAAGGCACGCCCTCGAACACCGCTTTAGTGGCCGCAAGTTGCAAGACAAGCACATGGTGCAGAGCATGGTTATTTGCGTTGCCGGTGATCTTGAATGTGCTCTGTTCCCTTATATTCTTTACTCATCAATAATAGCGACAGATTGTCTGAGAACAACTTTTTAACCGGCCAATGCGATTAAACCCTTTTATGTATAGGAAAACTCTAGATATTCGTCTATGTAGTATTCACTGATACATTGCTTAGTAGGTGCCCCCTTCTAACGCAATGAGTTTTAGGAAGCAAGGACTAACAATTCAGGATAGATGTGGGATCGCTAACGGATGCTGATTCAGGACAAAATACCCCCACTTCTCACACGTATTGTCAGAAGAGGAAGAAACAAAAATAAGCCCGAAGATGATAAAACGGCATCACTAGTAATGTTTCCGTACACCAATGCTTAACATCAGTTGTGAATATGAGGCCAGGAACTGTCAGGAGACAAAAGTGAAGCGACGATGCGTGTGGCACCATATACAGCTACTGAAGAAAGTTCACAACCAACAGTTGTGGATTGAGTAAGCTAGTGAAGCATTTACAACCGTCATCATTTGAGAAAAGATAAAATAACATGATTGCACACCATCGGCCAAGTAAAACAGAGAAGAAGAAGTAAGCATCTTATACAGCAAAGAGAAGGGTGGCAGAAGAACCCATGTGAACACCTACCATCAGTTTAGTTTCATTTAATACTACTAAGATTCAGAATCCGACGCGCAGTGGATTCAACTGTCACGGGTCACGTCGCAAGATTTAAGTCAAATCAAATCAACAATGCGGTTTATGCACCCTTGAAGAGTGAATATTCAGCTACAACACACACGCTAATGACACAAATAAAAATATGACAAATGTATGTGGTGCACCACGAATGTGAAAGTTGGCAGTGCTGATATCATCGATTCAGTATGGCAATAAGGTCTTGTTTGTACATCTCGATCCCTCAGAAAACGTGACAAATAGGGAACAACTGACGTACCGTAGTCCCATGTGCGGGCAGCGCAGTGCCTTTACATCACAAGAGGAGTTTAACCCGATCTCTTGCCTTCAGAGCGCGCAGTATTTGCACTCCGGATACCGTCAAGGAAGAGCTACAGAGAATCAGTGACGCTCTTCGTGAAAATGGTTACCGCGATAAGTTTATCATGAAGCATAAGAAAGAACGAAAGCGAAAGCCACCTAGGAGCATTGCTCCCAAGAGCTATTCATACATTTGCCATTTAAAGACGATACTGAAGCTGATATCTTATCTCGACGTCTGAAAGATGCTGTTGAGAAAACTTATTTCGCAGCCCGCTTAAGAATTATTTATCACAATAAGCCAATGCCTGTAAAACCCTTGAAATATAGTCTGCCATCGTTGACCCGTTCAATGCTCGTTTATCAGTGCCCGTGCTCCTGTGGTGCACGATACGTGGGTCGCACAAAGAGACGTCTATCCCAGAGGATTCGCGAGCACATCCCGGCGTGGTTTCACAAAGGCGAAATGAGGTTCTCAGACAGCTCAATCAAGTCGCACCTCCTCGAAAGTGGCCATACTGCATCTGAGAATGACTTTAAAGTCATCTACTCTCTACCTGAACGCTTATCGCAAGGCTTCCGGAAGCAAATCTTGTCTATTGCCGATGCCATTTACATCCAGCATCTGAAGCCGGAAGTATGTGTACATAAACGATTCATACGGCCGATACTAATATCGTGGCCAACTGACATGGTTACTTAACTACCCTTTGTGACCTTATCTATTTACTTTAGGCCGCTGAAGCTTGTATTAATTTCCTTTGGTGCACTTCTCTTACCATCTGTAGCCGCCTTTAGTCATCGATCTTGACCTTTCAAACACCTTAGAAATCAATCCCATCCCGATTTGATGCTTACCCCACACAAGCCGTGTTATGTAAACGTTTGGGTCTGAAAAGAGTTTACCGAAAAGAATTCTTAACCCTGAACTGATTTCTGGTCTTGATTCATCTGGTTACAATGGGAATATTTACTGTGCTGAAAATCAGCATTGCCCGTGATTCGTTGAAGATAAATGGCTTTGTATGTTTGTCTAGCCGAAGTCGAAATACATTCCGACAATGCACAATGGAGAGGGTGACTGGCACCAGTGCGTAGCTTGGAAGTCAGTTCTTCGCAGGAGCGAACAAGATTACACACAATGATGTCGGTAAACACTAGCATAGAAATTCCGCTGCATCAAGCAAGATGCTACAGCGACCTGTTGATGGCTTTGAATTACCCGTTTAAGAGTCCGGGAAATACCACAGGTGAGCAACACGTCCACTGCGGTATTACGCAAACGGTGATAAACCGCAGAACCAATTAACGGGGCACGGATGATGACCTAAGTCGGGAGACGTAGAACTTTAGGCTCTTGACTTTAGTGAATGTGTCATTCACGTGATGCGACCACGTGAGATCCCGACTTGGTGTTACTTCGAGATATTTCACTAATGTACATGAGTTAAGAATAATACTGTCAATACTAAGATGCGGGATGTGCGTCAGGGGCTGTTGATAACAATTTTCCTTGGCTAGCGAGAAAATAACATCTGCACTTTGATTCGTTAAATGAAAAACAGCGCGATTTGGACCAGGAAGTGAGGTTGTCCAAGAAGCATTGCAAGTTGGCTGATGAATCTGTGGTGTGATTGTGTACACCTAGGGTCACGTCATCAGCATAAATAAATAATTAAATAAATAATTTATTCGCATCCTTTCGAGGCACACCATCAAGGGTATGATCAGGGTAATATAGACATGCGTGATCGGCAATCGTACAAATTACTACATTTTGACCAATAGCATAGGATTTTATGTGTGTGTGTGTGTGTCGACATGTACAAGTATGCTTAAGTGTGTATTTGGAAGTAGCCATGTTGTGTGATTATGTAAATGTAACTCTGTGTTTTTGTTCGCTGGGTTCGCCATCAAAGGAACGCTTCGAATTGGATGACGTTCGTGATGTGTGAATGATCCTCCGGGAAGGGAAGAGGCAGTGATTTAGTGGCAAGTCACAGTGTTTTTAAAAGGATATCTGTGGTTTCTCATGGGGGGAACGCTTGCCAGGCGAAATCCCGCCACATCCTGGAACACTGCCGCCGAACCATTTGCTGGAACGGGATTAACCCGAACAATCCAGCTGGCATCACGGGGAGGTTGTTCGGCTAGCAAAAAAATAACATCTTTGCACTTTGATGAGTTGAGTGAAAGGCAGCGGGAGTTGGACCAGGAGATGAGGTTGTCCAAGAAGCATTGCAAGTTGGTCGATGAATCTGTGGTGTGATTGTTTACACCAAGGATCACGTCATCAGCATACTTCAATAGGATGGCCTCCCTTAAAGCGGGGATGAAGTTACTGTAGGTGGATACTAGGAATGGGGACAAAATAGCTCCCTGAAGAACACTTCAATTTGTGATGAGTGAGGAAGAGCTTTTCTCCCCCATCTTGCTAAACTGCGTACGATTGGCAAAGTAGTCTGTAAGAAAAGATATTAATTTAGGTTAAACTCCGGAAATTAGCAGATCGTGGTTTACACAGTCAAAAGCATTACTGTAATCTCGGAAGCAGATCCGCGTGCGCTTGTTTTTCCATCGAGCGATGAAAGCACGGAGTGTACAAGACAGGCTAATGCATCCAAAGTAGACCTTGAACTGCGATAGGTGAACTGAAAAGGATCATTCGAGTGGGTTTGGACAAGCATTGTCAAGTATAATTTGTTCTAATGTCTTCAAAGCCACAGACGTACAAGCAATTGGCCGGTACTTACAAGTTCTTTCTTTTGGTACAGGTGTAATGCGGGCGCTCCGCTAGCAGTCAGCTATCTTGTGCTGATTCAATCACATGGTGTAGATTTCAGAAAAAGGCTGTGCTAAGACATTGGCACATTCGTTGAGGACTATAGGAGATAGTCCGTCTGGTCCAGGCGCTTTGAACGACTGTATCCGGGTTAATTCCTTGTGAACTGTAACACTGTTAATGGCTGGTGAAGTTTGTGGGGAGAGTTGCTGCGGGAAACATGGTAATTGCAATCATTTATATGACCACATAATTTGCGGTTAAATTCCTCCACCTCGAGAGCAGTGTGTGTGACACTTCTGACGACTCCACTTAGATTCTACATCATTTTCCATATTTCTCGGTAATTATTCTTTCCGAGTATAGTTTGGACAAAAATATGGTTGAGGCGGCACATCGTTTTTTATAACAGCCGTTAAGGACTTTACTG